TTAGATGTATAAAATCAACTGACGCCACAACTGTGTTAAAAATCCAAACAGATGAGTACCGGTTTGGTATGTCAACCCTATATTTTATGCGACTCACGGTCACCAACCAGGATGTAGCTTAATTGAAATATTGTTCGATGCAATCACTGCATTTGAAACTGTTAATTTTATTGATTCACGTACGTATCCATTCCATCCATTAAAATATTGATATTAATAGTTCGGTGCATTTTACAATGATATAACGTGCACCTCTACCTACCCCGTTGGGGATAAAAGGCGTGATGTTCTGTATTTATACTGAGCGAAATTACCAAATACATCAACTTTCAAACCTGGAACCTTGAAAGAGAGTTTAAAGTAGTGTTGTGTCGTATTTCTCAGTATATATATGTGAGTAACCCGCTATTTTTAATTAATTTAGTATGTCTCACGATAGTTATTATAAAACGAAAGTGTTGTTGACACAGCATATAAAATTTCAACAACAATTATTTTAGTCTTAAGGTACCTTATGGGAGAATATAGGTACCTACTATTATTTGATGAATAATTTGAACTTATTTTATTAAGTATATGGTCTGTATGTAACTCTTTCAATTTAATGAACAGGTTTCATGTTTTCCTTTTTTTTGTTTTCAGTATTTTGTAGTCACCGAATGGCAGCGAACTACTTCATAGAAACCATACAATTCGTTTGTTCGATAATTGGCAATCAAGCCAGTAGCGCAACTGCCTGGGTACTCAGAGGGGGATCACCCTTAAACCTCCTTTGTCTCGGTTACAACATAACCTCAAGGTAAGTTTAACATAACTCCTGAGTTTTATTTATTTAGTTATTGCACAACGTGCATACATATATATAATAATAATAATAATAAATCTTTATTCATTATAAGAAATTGGTCATAGTACAGATAAAAATCTTAATTTTAAATCAGAGACCTCACTAGGTTTGAATGTCTGTACTAGGAAAAATATCCTGAAGGAGCATACACAATGTTACTAATTCTAGGACAAGTTATTTATATAAACAAATTCCATAACATAAGTAATCGATCAAAAGTAAAGTAAAGTTGATTATTTAATGTACATACATACACACTTCTTTTTTTTTAAGGGGGGAAAATCATCGAGTGAAGTGCAGGAGTAGGTACGGGGTGGTTTTTAGTCAGTAAGAGTCTGACACTCCCTCTCGCCTCACCCAGGCGGGAGAAGTCATTCGATGATTTCCCCCCCCCCTTAAAAAAGCCTATTAGGTACATATGTATCCCTAGACGGACATATAGTGACCAGATTGGCGATATATTAAAGAAGGGCCAAATTAAAAGTACCCTTAACCGACGACCATGCATGAAAAGATTGATGACTGTTGATGAAGCGAAAGAAGAATGTAGGAATCGTTGTAATTGGCGTTCCATAGTCTCTGCAAAGGCAGAGGTCACTTACCTGTGAAAAACTATTATCTATTATCAAAAACAGTCGAAGGTATTTTAAATAATACTTAATTTGTTTATCTCACCGAAAATTGAACAAAACCAAGATTATTTATTTTTTTATCTTTATTAATTTGAATCTTTTGGTCATACAAAGACCATGGCAGCCATCATTCCCTAAAATATTTAACAAAACTTACATTAATAAGACCTACATGCAAGGTTGAGAAACAAAATGAATGCACAATATTTAGTACCTACTTGGTGTACTGCAATTGTGTACTTACTTTATTCGTATTGTTGGCACGGTTGATGTCTACTTTTAGTTTATGAAATATCTTCATTACAAATTTGCAAAAATAACTCAATAATTCCAACAGTGTAATTTTTGGTTAGTTCACATTCGGCTCCTAAAATCAGTTCAAGCATACTTAGTACCTATGTATATAGTCCAGTCATTTGCTTAAATTAAGTAAGAATATCAGAATTCGAGATACTTAGCTGCAAGTCTGTAAATACTTGTATATCGATACCCTTAAAGCAGGTAGGGTATAAAGCAACATATAGGTTTATACAAAAATTGCTCATTTAAAGGTATTAAATAGATAAACATTCATTATTTAAATAACAAGATTATAAAAGGTAAAATAATATTTATTTTTTATTTTACAGTCCCAAAGGAAATTACTATTTCCGCACCGACGATAAGTCCCCATATGGTGAAGGCATAGACGGAACAAGGCCATTTTAAATTGAGTAATAAAAGGAGAATCACGATGATTCCTAAATCAAAAAGAAATTATTTTTAACTTATCAACACATTATTTTTACCTTATTTGTGTAAATGATTACAGACAAATTGTATGTGTTTTTAACTAATAAAGGAAAAATAATAATATAAGTTAAGTAATAATAAAAAATGTCGTCAAAGTCATGCAATCTTAAAAAAATATAAGAAATACATAATCGATTCTGATATTTTCGAAAAATTATAGATTTATGGAATATCCATATTGTAAGTATATGTGATTATAATTATAAGTAATTATGAAATTTGGTAGTCTTAGATCCTCAGATTTCACAATCCTTCTTCATTTTACATGCATAACCGCCCACTTGTCTTCTCCAAACTCCATTCTGATGGCATTATTAATATAATTAGTATTATTATAAAAGTTAAAATATATTTATTTCTCATGAAGAATCACATACATAATTCGCTTACTGAGAAACAATGTTTGACATAAAACTAAGCATAGAGAGCACAGTAGTACGTACACGTAAACAAACAATAACAAAAGAAAAGTGTAGATGTGGTGAATACGATTACGCAAATAATAATATACATATTCAGTACCTACTTAAAAATATGGATGAACACACATCTTGGTACCAGATACTTTATAGATTAATGAATCAACACTGAAATATTGTTTCTTCATCTTCTTGTATGGTTTAAATACTTAGGTAATAATTGTTTTAGGCATTCACAATTCTTATTAACTTCTAACACTATGATAGATTAAATAAAGTAGATTAGATTGTCAGTGTATTTTTTCATGTTAACCATTAAAGATTGTATATTAAATACAACCGAGTTTTATTTTATCAACTATCTACTTGATACTTTGCGGAATGTGCTGGCTCGACCGGAGTGAAACAACGTTTGCGTTGTCTGCCGACCTCTTCCGGTTTCGTAGCTTCGCATCACGTGAGCTGAACCTAAATCGGAAGATGACAATATGTGACCGCCTAATTACCAACCTAGACTATATGTAGGTGTTGCGAAGAACCTAACGGGTTACCGGGGTTCCGGCTCGACGTGCAGGAGAAGGTACGGGGTGGTTTTTAGTCAGTAAGAGTCTGACACTCCCTCCCGCCTCTCCCAGTCATTCGATGATTTTTACCCCTTAAAAAGACTATATGTAGGTATTTGATTATACAGGTATAATGTCTAGATAGAGCGTCACCATACAATAGCAACAAAAATGGCGTTCCAAAATTTCTTGCATGTGTGTGTGCGGCTTGTGATTTAGGAACACGGAGCAATATGATACCAGCTACGACAAAAATTCTCCCATCCAATTCAGACCATTTAGAAGTAAAATAAAGAAAATTTATCCATCTCTTTGAATTTGATTTTAAAGATTTTTTTATTGGACACTTGATATTTATGTTTCGTCATATACATAAAAAGAATAATGAAATACTTATAAATATTAAGACATTTTTTACATTAATTCTATAAAACCAATTTATAAAATATTGCACACACCCTTTTCATCAAAAAATATTACTCAATCGATTTAAATATTTCAAAATAACTGTCGAAAATCGAAACGAACTATCTTTTTTTAACTCGTCGAGTACCGGTTTTATAGACACAATTAAAGAACAATAGGTCGCGGTCACCGGTGACCGCTTGGTGTTTGACAGTTTAACCGACTTCAAAAAAAGGAGGAGGTTCTCAATTCGACCGTATATATGCTTTTTTTTATGTTTGTTAGTCGTTTAGATTAAATAGTACATTAAAGTGTAAGTAAGTGTTCAATAAAAAATATAAATATTATTTTTAATTTAATTTTTAATTGAGATTTTTTTGTAAATTTTTCCCTCTTTATCTATGTGACCAATGAGAAGGGAATATTGAAAAATAAATTGGCAACACTGATAAAATATGGCGTCAGTTATTATGGACAAAAACCTAAACTAAAGAATGTAATTATAATTACTTAGCTAAGGATAAGTGATCTGTTTAGTACTCTTTAACTGTCTTTTATAATTTTAGCACAATTTTATGGAGCATGTGGCCATCTTTGCAGTGTACTTTTTTTGTTTACAAATTTATTTTGCAGCGTGCATGCACGTAGTGACGCCTAGGTGACACAGTTGGTACTACTTGACGGGAAAAAGCATTGCAGTGAACAGCTCACTGTAAACTTTTGGGCCGCTTTTCGTGAACTGACACTCCATCTAGACATTATATAATGTCGCGGAGAACCTAACGGGTAACCGGGGCTCCGGCTCGACGTGCAGGAGAAGGAACGGGGTGGTTTTTAGTCAGTAAGAGTCTGACACTCCCTTCCGCCTCACCCAGGCGGGAGCAGTCATTCGATGATTTTCCCCCTTAAAAAAAAAAAAAAAAAAAGACATTATATAATCAAAGATGTGGGTATATTGATATGATAGCATAGTCTTTTCTCAAACTTACCTAAATATTGAAATTCCACCCAAGTTAAAAAGTAAGTAGCTAACTTTTAAACCGTTACTAATCTTAAATCCAAACATTGGGCCGACCTTACTTTAATTTTAACAGATACGATACTTACACTTGGACATCTCCAAGGTTTGCTCTTCAACTTCCGCGATAGTTAATATTGTTTCGAAGTCATCAGCGATCGTATTATCAGCTTTGCGATCAGTTCCACCGTAATATTAGACCGCTGCGCGCGCATCCTTGCACAGACAGACGCGGCGCGTGCCGGCTGATGTAAAAAGTGGCGAGAAAAGTGACAATATAGATAAAAAATCTCAATCATCATTTTTATAATCTTTAAAATAAAAATGTGGAGTGTTAAAAAATTGTGGTTTATGACGCCTATTTTAGTGTTGATAGGTTGGTTACATTTTGAAATTGCTATCAAATGTCCTAAGTCTAATTATTGTCGTGAAATAACACAAAACATAGCACCAATATTCATAAATAAATAAAAATGTGTGTGTTAGTTTTAAATAAAAATGTTTACTTTGTTATTCGTCGGTTGCGCAACGAGATAGACAAATTACATTAAAATAAATAATAACTTTTGTTTTTTTAAAATAGCATTCTATTAATTTCAGGTTTACTTCAATTAAGTGAAACTGCATTTCTACGGTGTTACCAAGGGTAAGATAATATTTGAATCGTTGTTCTATTCTATTTATCAAATTAATAACGATTTGTGTATCGACCTATTCGACATTCTTCGACTGCTATCAATAAACGCAAATTGGTAATACTCTATACTCCGACAAAAACTTATACCCATTTTCACCAACTTTTCTAATTTTTAAGAAACCCCTAAGCCAAGTGAGGTGACATTCAATGATACCTATATTGGTTTTCACCAGGCTGTAAGTGACACCTAAAAGTGAAGATAACAGATTACTTTAAATGCTCCGCTCCCTCATACTAATTCCTTCTTTCCAGGCAGAATTTTTTTTTTTATATTACGACTTACAAAGAATTTGCTCGACTGATATTAAAAATATCCTGAGACATACTAAATTAATTATTATGTTTTCGGCTTACTCAAGTAACTGTTTGATATTCAATGCTGCTCATGAATATGAGCCTCTAGCATGGCTTGAAACTAGTCGAGTTCCTCGTCAAACAGTTGCGTGAGTAAACCGAAAACATAATAATTGATGCTCGACTGGTTTCAAGCTAAACTGTCGAACAGTTTATGAACTCTCGATAATATTAGTTATTAAATTTTTTTAATTAAAAATTCTAAGATAGCTAAAAATACCACCAGTTATTCTAAAATTATAGCAAACTAGCTTTTACCCGCAGCTTCGCTCGCGTCACAAAAGGATAAAAAGTAGCCTATGTGACATACACCAATACACACAGCGCCATCTATACCAATTCTTTTGTTTTCCCTCAGGAATATCAAATTTTTCCGGGATAAAAAGTACCCTATTATTTAATCTGGACTTCTAACTTTGCGTCTGCAAAATTTCAAAGCAATCGATTTAATAGCTACGGCGTGAAAGCAGAACAAACAAACAAACTCACTTTCCGATTTATAATATTAGTAAGGATAATATTATCTACGTAACGATAATCTAAAACTAGTTTCGTTAACTAATCAATCGTGCCAGCACGGCTTATATCAGCTGAGCTGGTTATTGATGAGCCAAACAATCGTTTCCTGAAGAACCACCCCGTTCCTTCTCCTGCACGTCGAGCCGGAGCCCCGGTTACCCGTTAGGTTCTCCGCGACTCCGAATCGGCATCGGCCCTATTGGGCCCCATCTGTGGTGGTCTGATGGCTCTTTGAGGCGCGCGCGGAACGCGACGCGCCGTACGCTCGGGTCTGTTTCTGGTCGGACGGGGAGCCACCCATGCTCGCCGTCCGCAGGCCCGCGCTTACGGTGGCCGGAGATCGTCCCGCGATCCCCGACGCCCGGTGTGTCCTTCGCGATGGCTGGGTTGCGAGGAGGTAGCGCTTCGCTGCCTCACGCGTCCCGCCTCCTCCTTAGCTAGCATGACTGCTTCGCAAAAGGAGGAGACGGCATCCCAGTCCCCCTCGCTCCGCATCATGGCCTGCACTAGGCCCGGACGCGAGAGGTCGCCATCGCCGATCACTTCCCTGAGGGCACGGCGGTGCTCAGCCCACGCAGGGCATTCCGCTACGGTGTGTTCCACCGTGTCCTCAGGGCGGTCCTCGCAGTGATGACACCCGGGCGTTTCCTCCCGCCCCATCAGACACAGGTACCTCCCGAAACTTCCATGTCCGGTGAGGACCTGCTTCAGGCGGTAGGTGAGGACGCCGTAGCGTCTCTCAAGCTACTCCTCAAAGAGGGGTCTTACCGCTGCAATGGCAGCGAGCCCAAAGTATAGGATACTTAGGGCCGATTTTTCAATTATTAGTTAATTCTTAACTTTAGGTAGAATAAAATTGTCAGTTTTTAAAATGGAAGAATTGACTAGTATTCAAAGTTATTTCTCAGTAAAAATTTATCTAGCGTTAAAAAAATCGACCCATATTAAAGGTATTTGTTAATTTTGGAGAAGAAATAAGTTTGTTTGTAAACAGTAGGTAAGTATATTGCTGATACTCTCATACTGGCAGATCCATTGGATTTGGCATTTGTTGAATGAAAATCTGTTTTCTAAGTACCTACATTATGTAAAGTTACTTCAACGTGGTCCTCCTGATAGTGAAGATATTACTTTGGATAGTCCTCTTTCTGTCCTTAATCTACTATGAAGTTACTTAAGGTGAGACAAGGAGTGTGTGATACCCAGGGTTGTCAGGACGCCTAGTGCAAGTTTATTTTTTCGTAAATCCAATCAAAACGTTACCCCTCTGATTGGCCAGCACTTATTAACCAACCAATCAGAGCGTTAAATTAATAAAAAAACTCGCCTTAGATCATTTCTCACACAATCGACCCATCTTTTCATTGGTAGCCTCCTTTTTCGATTCCTTTGGTATCAAATATTTATTTACAAGATTGCAAGACCCGACAGTTGAGGCATGCAGTCAAAAAACTAATACGGAAACAAGTGACCACATGTCTGCAATACTTACATAATCTGTCTGGGGCCAGTCTAGTGCATTCAATGTTATTAATTTATATTAATTTAGGTAATCTATGCTTATAAAACATTTATAACCTGTTCTTAAGTAGTTGGCCGCGAAATATACTACGAACACGTACAATTTGGTATGCACAGATTACCTAGTACCTACAGAAACAATAGCTATTTTTCCACCAAATTACATACCTAATTTAGAATGAATATATTTTGAAACCGCTGGTTGGCAAAGTAACAAAACAATAGTTACTGTCGCCGTACTGAATCAATCTTTATTGTCGGGCCTGCAGCGGTATCCAAATGCCATTTAGCGCTTGTCTACATGTAGAATACAAAACCAAATTATATGGAATTGACATTGACGTATATTTTGTCACTTGTCAGTGTCATCCCCATACATTTTGATTTCTACTCTCTCTGTAGACAAGCGAGACAAGCGCTAAAGTAGCGTTTGGCTAAAGGCCATGTTTACAAAATAACTGTAGACTATACTTCAAATGTCGTTTTTCAGTCTTTTATCAGGTCTTTTTCAAGATCAGGTGTGTAGAGGAGTGTATTTTTTCACCAAGTCGTCGTCAATCATTCAGGTCTACTGCCATCTATAGGCACAACTTCATTAAATAGAATTTCAGTTTGCTGGTACCGAGATGCGACCCTAAAACCTTTTTTCATTCAACATACGTAAGTACTCTTTCCACTTGATTAACCAGTTAGTGCGTATCTAAACTCATGCAATAAAAAAAAATAAAACACACGTTATCAAAGTATGTATAGGAGCTGGTTTTGCGTACGTATAGCCATTCAACCCATTACCCAATACGTTAGACAACGTATTGGATAATGGGTTGAATAAATAATTGGGTTCATACCGTTCATACACACTACTACAAACTAAGTATCAGTTATTTAATAGTTAGATATTATTGTTGGAATTATGAACAATAGTTGGTACAATAAGATACTCGTACAATAAATCCTAGGTATACTTACGAGCGGTATCGAGCCCTTAAGTCTTTCGGGAATTTTTAAAGGGTGTTCCGTAACATCGACGCGAACTGGTGGGTGCACGCGAAAAGGTGAAATTACTCTACTGACCAATAAAGTAATTTACGCATTCATAAATGCAAACTTGTATTATTTTGATTAAAATTGTTAACATCTGCACTCTGCAGTCAATTTTAATTCGTGTGAAAGTTGCTATACTTGATATTAGGTATATCGGCATTTCATAATAACATTAGGTAGGTATCATACGAGGTCAGGTTTAATCTAGTCTAGAAACCAAAGTAGAAAAAATATTTTTGAAACAGACATCTGCATATTTAAAAAGTTAATAAATATATATGTAAAAGGTATATTTCTTACTCATTAATAGTTTATAGATACGTCATATTTTGGAAATGGATTTTTTTAATGTGGGAAATTCATCGAATGAGTGCTCCCACCTGGGTGCGGCGGGAGGGAGTGTCAGACTCTTACTGACTAAAAACCACCCCGTTCCTTCACCTGCACGTCGCCGTCGAGCCGGAGCCCCGGGACCCCTTAGGTTCTCCGCGACTTTGGAATAGGATACTAGGATAATTAGGTACGGTACCAGGCCACCCCAATGACCTAGGATCCCGATAAACAAATGAAGTTGATAAGAATCGCTTGCCTCAGTATGAAAGATCCGCTCATTGCGTTCATGACTGAAAATCAGGTAGGATTTTTAATGGAAAACGTTAAGTCAATAACTACATTAAAATAATCATAAACATTATATGTGTCAACTAGATACTTTTATGAGAAAAATTACTTTTATGTGATTCAATGTTGACAAAAAAACCGATCATATTTTTTAAAGCAACTTGTGATTAAAATCTTAGAATTCCCATGTTTCTTGAAACGTAGGTACATGTAAGTACTTATTGTCCACAATCACATCTGGTTTTTCATGATAACATCACAACTTATTTTATTCGGTAAAACCTATTTGCGTGAAAATTGTGCTAATAGTGCTTCATGTCCTATGAATAAAGTGGTTTCGCACAGCTTTTCCCTAAATATTAGACATCTCAAAGCCTTTTTTTAAGGGGGGAAAATCATCGAATGACTGCTCCCGCCTGGGTGACACGGGAGGGAGTGTCAGACTCTTACTGACTAAAAACCACCCCGTTCTTCTCCTGCACGTCGAGCCGGAGGATCCCCGGTAACTCGTTAGGTTCTCTGCGACTCCGGGCATCTCAAAGCCTAACGCTTTATATGAACATCTTGAAGAAGTGAATAGTTGATCTTGGACAATTCCAAGATCACCTATTTCTCCTTTAGACGTTAGTAATAACTAGTCGCAAGATAATATTAAACTCGTAGTAGTGTCCTTTTGGACACAAGCATCATTAATTAATTATCATACTAATAGGTAATGTAATAAATTGCATATATCGCTGTCACAATATTGCGAAAAATTACACCAAGGTTTAATAATAATCCAATCGAAAACAATTTTTTTGTTCATATCGCAAAGATTATCAGAATAAACTTTTAAAATTAATTTTCACATTTCACACTTTCACCATTGGAAAACTAACTTTTCAGGG